TCTCGGGGCCTGTTGGAAGGCTTTTGGACGCTTCTTGGGACGTCTTTGGCGCCGTTTCGGCAGACTATAGAAGCCATCTTGGTCGTCTTGGACCGATCGTGCAGCGATTCGGGCCCTCTCGGACCATCTTGGGGGCCTCTTGGGGCACTCTTGGCCCGTCTTGGGGCCCTTGTAGGCCCAAACTGTTCATGCGACGAGCTCCGGGAGCCGCGCGGGAAGTCCCGCGAGATCCGGCAACCTGGGGTCTGGGCCCCCGAAGGAAGACTCGTCGGCAGTGAGGGTCGAGGCTCCAGCGGACTGGGGAAGGGACCTGGAGACACTCCAGCTCGTGCCTTCAGGGCACGGTGGCGGCTACGCAGCGGTCTCTCTCTCTGTCGTCGTCCCTCCCTCCCTGACTGGCCACCCGCCTGGCCTCCTGTCTCCCACACTCGGCAGGTCGACGGCGAGCTAGATACCCAGGGTGGCCTATGGCATGCTCTGCCTCGTCTCCCCCCCCTGTTCCCCTCCCCTTTCTTGGGGTGCAGCTCGTGGGAGGTTAACTTCTGTACCGGCGCTGGTATTCATGCTGTCGATAACCAGCTCAGTCTGGGCTAATCCGGCTTCATCCAGTTCTGCCCCGATTAAGCCGGCTTAATTTGGCTTCATCACGTGCTTAAGTTTGCCTGATTTGGCGAGTGGTGGCCTTCTTATCGGGCTTCATCGCTTTTAATCGTTCCCACGAAGACCTCCCAGGAGTTGCCTCGTAACCTAGGGTCTCCTATGTCATTCTCTTCCTCCTTTTCCCCCTGTTCCATCCCCTCTCGGGCTTTCAGACTCCGACACCTTAAACCTCGTCTTCGCCTCGTTCCTCCTCTCGGCCCCATCGCCCCCGTCTCGCCCACTCCCAGATGTCTGCAGTGTGGCTCCTCGTCCGCCTTCTGGTGCCCAGACATTCGATAAATAAGGGAAAAACAGGATTAGGAAAACGACGTATGCGATCATCCCATTACGATCGCCTCCGAATGCGGCTCCTACAGGGGACCCACAAGCCCGCGGTACGAAACGTAGTTTCTGGAAAGACAATGACAACACATCACGCTCCACGCAGATGAGATGGAACACCGCGTCGCGACGGCGTGGCGGGCGTCCCACGAGCTCAAGGACGAGCTCACAGACACACCATAAGATCAGACCGACGCCGCGTCTTCCAGCGGTACCATCACGCGGTCGGCCCTGTACGGTTGTGAGGCGTGGACACTCACTACTGAATTAGAAAACCGATGGCGACGAACGCGCAGGCAGGACCACGGCACACGCCGACGACGCGAGCTCAGAAGACAACACGACGCCCGATCCCCATCCAACCATCCCCACCGGTGGTCCAATCCGTAGAAACATGTTTATGGTGGACGGGACGATTCCGCATCACATGGTAGGTATCATGTGTCAAGCAACGGAAAATGGATGTGTGTCCAAGCATCGAAACCAGCAAGCAAGCAATATTGGATCTGACAGGTGATTCCGTGGACCCCGCAACACCAACCGTCATTTGCTGCAACGTAGAGACCGGGCTTCCCAGAAGCCAGATGTCGCGACGGCGCCCGTCACCACGTAGGGAATCACAGGGGAAGTGGTTGTGTGAACATCTCTACGACATATACGGCGTTGCCACAGCGGGGCTCGGGAGCAGTGTCGAACCGGCCTTCTGATCGGGCCTCATCTTCTGGCACCCCGGCGCCGCACCCGCAGCACCCCAGGCGGTGTTCTTGCGCAGGCGTGTTTCGTGCTCGGCGCCGTCCCTTCCCTGTCCAGACGGTGTTTTTGCTCAGGCGTCCTTTCTTGCTCGGTGCCGTCCATTCCCTGGCCTCCCCCTTTCCTCTCTCCCCTCCTGCCTCCCCCCCTCCTCTTCCCCCGCGTCCCCCTTCCTTCCACTCCCTCTCCTACCTCTATCCATTAGGTGTGGTATGTTCGGGACTACGTGTTGCGGGGCGACTACGGTTCACGCCGATGACATATTCGATTAGATGCCGATAACCGACACGACCCCCGATGCGATCAAGACGACCCTGGAAGCGAGCGATGCGATCCTGGACAAGGAGCTGGACGAGGTGGGTCTGATCCACAATTATGGCAAACGAAAAACGGCCCCGAGCCTCAGAAACCATCGAGCGAACAAGTGTTTCACGCAGGAATTCGACGGTGGCAAAACCATCCCTCGTGCCAGGTATCTCGGTAGCCGCTACGCGTGGGACTTTTCTAGCATGGAAGAGTTCAGGTACCGCAGCGCCGCGGTCAACGCTGGGTGGGGGAAGATGGGGGAACTTTGGACGAGTAGGATTTCCAGGAGCATCAAGACTATGGCCTTCAGGGCCACGTGGTGGAGGCAGCGTCACCAGCCAACGAGCCTCATGTTTTCTCGATCGCCCAAACACACCAACTGGACATCTTGAACTGTAAATATCTTCGGGTACTGGAGCGAAAGAGGGCGACGGATTGGGAGGGGAGCGTCCACATACATTACCCAGTGCAGTAGAGCGTCGAAAGTGGCGCTTGATGCCCGTTTGCCTCGAGCAGGCGGCAAGGAGATCCGGCTGGGTGCAACAGATGGCTAAGGATGCCGTCGCGCACCGTCAGATCATAGCAGCGGCATGGGGTGCGCTACAGAGTGGGCCCGAGAGCTTGGGCGCTGATGGCAAGCTCACAGAGTCTGCACCCCCGATTGCCCAGCTGATAGAAAAGAGATGTCTGTACCTTCGCGCACATCAGCTGATCGGAGGACATCTTCGAGACATGGGAGCGTCTGGGGTACTCTTGGAATGCACTGTTTTTGGAGGAGGAGGTTCGAGATATGTTTCTGGAGGTTGACCCTTCGTTATTGCGTGCTGCTGTTCTACATGAAGGAGAGGAGACCTTCAAGATTTAGAGGAGCCGCTAAGGCTCTTCGGGAAGACGGTGGGCACTCAATGGAACCTGGTAGGCGCGTGTGCACCCTCAAGGACGAACGCGGCAATATATAGTCGCATATATTCGATATTCGCAGTGCTCTATTCGCTCATCAGTCTCGGTCAAGGGGCGAGCACGGAAAGTTGAACTCGCTTTTTTTTCGTCGGTGATTAATAACGTGTGCCCATGGTGCAGCGGTGATTTCTCGATTCGGGATAGCCCCAGACAGCATGCTCGAACCGCTGGGCTAGACAATCGATGTCGCCCCAATCGCCCGGCCTTTGCATGGAGCCCAGTGGTGCCCAAATCGTGCGCGTGTCGGATGTGCGGTGAGGAGCATGACACGTTAGGCGATATCCTGGACCATGCCGTCGAACAGCATCTCCCCCCTTCCCATCCGTGGCCATCCTGCCCCGAGCGCCGCGAGTTCGGCCGAGAGCTGCTGGGCCTGCCGCGCCAGCCGCTGCGAGCCATGTCCCTGGTCCTCGGCGTCGAGTCCGTTCAGGCAGAGAACGAGAGAGTTGAGCGCCGCCGAGTGGCAGACGGCGAGCAGCCGAAGGTGGTCAAGAAGACAGCCGCCCACAACGCCGCCAACAGGTTGCTCATGGTGCTCATGATGAAGATGATCATGCAGTTGGCGCAGTCGGGCCGCACGGTGAAGGGCATCTTGTTCGACGTGATCATCGTGCCGCACAACGTGCCATAAGTAATTCGCATGGCCGAGCAAGGCGCCAAGCACAACGAGCAGGTACAGGCCAAGGGCAAAGGGCAATCTAGGCTCGCCCCACCTGTGCGTGTTCGGGGGCCTGGTGGAGGCGCTGCTGATTGGGCAGGAGATGATCGGCAAGGAGAGCTTCGAGAAGTTGAATGTGCTCAAGGCCAGGCTCAGTACCCTGAGCTACGAGGAGCACGAAGTTCGACAGGTGCTACCTACGACCAGCAGAAAAGGCGCATCCCGTTGTGCCTGGGAGAGGGACGCAAGGATATCATATCGGTGCTGACCCAGCTGGGAGGCGAACGGAAGCCGGGGAGGTTCCCAGCGACGCGCATAGAGAGGGAGATGCAGGAGTGACTCGAGGCTTTTCTTTCGTCTTACGGGCAGCACTTCATTGTTATTCAAAGATCTAGCGGGGCAGGAGTGTGCAGTTCGAGAATGTATGGGTGATTCACAACATTCAGCTTCTTCCCGTGGGGTGACGGACCGCCGAGTGACGGACATATCTTTTGAGGCGCATATTGTGCCTGCCTGTGTACATCAGCCGACAGGCACATGTCGAGAGCGATTGAGTGCACCCATCTCATCACGATCGATGCCACCGCCAACGATCTCTTCAAACACCGCGAGGATTCAGAGGCCCTTTGCATCACGCTGTGCGAGTGACGTGGTTCCAAGTAGCGGCGGCCACGATTATGTTGGAACCATGGGGCCCTTTCGGAGTACTTCGCCGTGTTCTTCGATTGCGCCCAGGGGACAGCAGAGGTTGTCTTCGGAGTCTCAGGGGCCCTCGATGAGTATTCCCACGCTCCCATCGATTGCCCCGCCGAGGTCCAGTGGCTATCTAGGTCCAACGGAGACAGGAGCTGACGTGAGAGAGGTTGCTGAGAGGTATGTACAGCGTAGAGGAGAGGCTCCCTGGGGATCCTGGGGCATTGCGCATTTCTTGGAGGCCCAGGGTATTCCCAGGGATTCGGATAGGTGGGGGGCTCTTGCGCGCAGTAGGGTAGGCACGTTCAAGAGATGGTTCGCCGAATGGGGTGAGTTTTTTGTTTTCGACGCGGGTCTGGACTTGGGCAACTTGTACCCGCGTCCAGTGCCTCAGGCAGTGGACCAGAATACGGTCTAGCCTTGAGGCCAGCGTCCCAGGCGTTTCGGATCCTATCTTAAGCATCGTCTCTGGGCCTTTTTGTTTTCGATCTGTCGTAGGTGGACGAATTGGGCCCCAACGGAATGTTTCCTTTCCTGCCTCTCTCCTTTTCCCCTCCCATTCCTGCCTCTCCCTTTTCTCCTTCCCTTTTCACCCGTTGCCCCCCCCCCCCGTCCCCCCGCACCTCCCTCCCTGCCGTAAATCGCTGGGCAGGTGTTTATCTGGGGAGAGCCCGTTCTCCGGAGGTGCCCCCCGTCCCCTCTCTTCGATGGGAGGTCGGGAGCAGCGCGATGGGCAGGAACGGTGTCAGGGCGAGGAGGAAAAGAGGAGGAACGCGATGAATGAGAGATGGTGAGGAGGAGGAGGAGGAGGAGGAGGAGGAGGAGGAGGAGGAGGAGGAGGAGGATGTGGAACGTGGTGGTGATGACGATGAAGAAGAGGAGGAGGAGGAGGAGGAATATGATGAGTATGACGGTGATGGTAATTGTGGTGCAGATGATCCTGATGATCATCAGCATCGTGACAGTCATTACCATCATGATCATGCCGGCCTGTTGTGGTAATACGGGTGACGAGTGGACGGGAACGAGCGGCTGGCGAGGAGGAGGAGGGAATCTGAAGTTGATCTAGAGGGTTGAAGTTTCGATGACGTTTGAAGGGGTGATGTTGATGAGGATGATTTGTCATTATCATGCTGATGTTGGCTATCTGGTGGTCGTGGTGGTGATGGTGGCGAGTATGATGAGAGGGTGAGAAGGAGAGGGAGGTCGAGGAGGAGCTGGAGGGGGTTGAGGATGGGGAGGTGGAGAAGGGGGGCGTGGAGGGTCGAGGAGGTGGAGGAGGGGCAGGGAGGGAGGTCGAGGATGGCAGGGGGGGGGGTCCAGCGCCGACCCAAGAGCTGCGAACCAAGGTCCGACAACCTGCTTGGAAGCACTGCGCGGTGCAGGGGCCTTTCCCTATCCAATGCCCCCACCGAGGCAGCAGGCCCTAGTCCTGCCTAGCACCGACGATGTGCTGGCATCGCATGGCTTCGACTCGCCCGCGGTGGCCATCGAGCGGGGCCGCAAGAAGGTCGCCGACAGGGCCGAGAGAGCTGCCACTGCGGCCGGCGAGGGCGCGGGACAGCGTGCGAATTTGTTCCTTTGCATGCAAGTTCGTGGCCTCGGTTGGACACGCGGAGAGATAGAAATGCCCCCCACCGAATAGATGGCCCTCAAAGAAATGCCACGGAATTCTCCCTTCCTCATCCCCCCCCGTTGCCCTGCTCCTGGCCCCTCTCCTGCCCGTTCCTTGACCTCCAGCCCACCTTTCTCTTCTCTTCCTCGTCGAGGCTACGGCCTCCACGCCGTGCCCCCATGGGCATAAGCCAGCGGGCTCCCTTTTTGGAACACTCGCGATTCTGGCGCGCGTTTTGCTTTGTTTCGCCCCCTCTTCCTGTCTGACGACCCCGAGAGATCCCAAGAGGTTCGCAGGAGTTGCCGCCGAAAGGGCTCGCAGCCACAGCTCTGCGGCAGATGTCGGAGAAGACAGAATGGCGCAAACATCAGCTTTTGGATAATTTCGGGTGAGTTTCTTCGGTCGACGATGGACTGCCCTCCCTGGCGCGCGCAGCGCGCCAGGGGCAGCGCTGGAAACGCCGCCGGGGGGGCCTCCGCGCTGATCCAAGACGTCCACGCGGAACTCCGGACGATTATGTTCATGCCGTTTGTTCAAGGGCGCTCGTTGTTCGGCTCCGATTCCTCCTCATCCTCCTCTTCTCCCTTGGGGGGCGGCGCGAGAGCGCGAAGTTATTCGCGCTCAGCGCGAAGCATTCTCCGGCGCAGTACATCTGCAATTCAATTGCCCCAAATCTATATTTCACCACCCCCTTTCAGCTGGACCCCCTTTGGGTCACCCCAAGATTCCTTCGGTGCAGCAAATCGTGGGAGCCTGGTAGACCCTCAGAATTCCATCTCTGGCGTCGGCTCGCGTCGGCTAGCGTCTGGGAGTGGATGGGCTAGCGCCGATTTAGCTTCGGTCCGCGTCGACTCGCGTCGATCTAGCGCTGATTAGCGTCGACTAGCGTCGATTAGCGTCGACTAGCGTCGACTAGCGTCGATTAGCGTCGATTCGCAAGAGTCGACAAGATGGTATGAGAGGCTTCCATGAGTTGCCACCGAATATTCCGATCCGGTACGATTTCGGGGTCCGATTCGGGTCTCGGCTTCTGGCCTGAGGCTTTTTCCGGCCTGCCGAGTTCCGCCGATGTGACTTCTCCCGATCTCGCAGCCGTTTTTCGCCGATCCGAGGTGCTCCTATCGCGGGTCCAACTTCCAACTTCCTCGATTCGATTCTGGCCTCTGGTGCTCAAGGGTGTCCGTGGCTGGGTCGGCGTGCTTCTGCCTCAGGCCCCACCCCACGTCGCGCAACGGTCACGACGGGAGGCTGTTGGCAGTTTTGCGTTTCGGGGGTCCTTCCGCCATGGTTTCCGTGGCGCTCGGTCGGTTTGCCTCAGGCCCCTCTCCCCGTCGCGCACGTATCACGACGGGAGTTGGTTGGCAATTTTGCGCTTCTGGGGGTCCTTATTGGGTCCCGGGACCGTCAACAGAGCGGCTCGGGGCGAGGAAGCGTCCCAGGGAAGGAGTCCACAACTCTGGGGATCCTGGGGTGCCCGCGATTCGGTCTGTTCGATGGCCTCGCAGTCGGTTGGGTTTGGTCGGTGCCGCTCGGTGGGGTGCTGTGGCCGCTGCTGCGTCGCTGCAGCCGCGCCAGCAGCAGCGCCCTGCGTAGCCGCCGGCCGCCGCCACCAGGGGCCGCCGCCGCGGCCTGGGGTATGGTGAGGTCCTCCCCCCCGCGCGACCCCTACGGCTCGAGTCGGAGATCGACTGCTGAATTGATTCAAGACGAACCTGGAAGTCCCGCCTAGCCGACGCACATGATGAGTAATGTTGGTAGGCCTACAGGCATTCTGCGCACTTCTCTCGTGGATCCGACGAGGAAGCCGCTCTCGGGGCGCATCCGTCCTGCAGTCGACCTCTCCCGCCTGAGGGGCGGCGCCTCGCTGCCGCCGCCCGCCGTGGGGTCTCCACGGGCCCCCACCCCGAGCGGGCAGCGGCTCTGCGTCGCTGCGCCCGCGCCCTCTCGGGCTACCTGCGGCCGGTCGGTATCGGTGCCGCGCCCGGTCTGCGGTGGGCCCTCGGTGCTGCTGCCGCTGCCCGGCGGGGCCCGGGCGCCGAGGGCGGCCCGCAGCCCGCGAGAGCTGTTGCCGGCCGTGCGCTGCCTCTCGCTTCCCCTTGCGGCCCCGCCGGCACGAGGGCCACCTGTGTCGTCGGGAGGCGCCCAGGCGTTCTTCGTGCGTGGGCTCTTCGCCTCGCAGCCTGTCGCCGGAGGGGTGCCCCGTCTTGTTTCCCCTTGGAGCCTGTCGTCGGAGGGATGCATGGCCTTCGTGTTTGGACTCGTCACCTCGGATGGTCTTCGCTGTGAGCCGTCGGCGCAGGAGCTCGTGTTCTCGATATCCGCCCTCCTCTGGCCGTGCTGCGGCGGGGCTCTGCCCCTGGACCTGCTCCTGGCCCGTGCAAGACCCATGTCGAGGTGTTTCAGCTCGGCTGCTGTCCGGCGCTGCCGACAAAAAGTCCTGGCCTGTGGGGGACCACAGTGCCCCGACGAGCGCCTGGCCCCACCAGTGGCTCCCGACAGGCCAGCGAGGCAGTCGCTGGAGAGGCAGGAGGACGAGGCGACCCTCAGGACTCGGGACACCCTGTCGCCAGGAATACTTGCTGGGCGTGTCGCTCCGCCGATTATGGCCCACCACGCTTTGGCGTGAAACGCTAAGGATTTTCCAGCCCAGATGCGTCCACGTTCCGAGCTTTCCCCAGCGCCCCGTTCTACGAAGTCATGTGAATCGCAATCAGCTTGCAAATGCTGGCGTGTCGCAGAAGCCGCACTCGTGCAGCGGAGTGGCTTCAAGGCCACCAGAACGAGCATCCGAGGCGAGTGCGAGGATAAATCCGTTCCAGAGCTCTCCGGAACGCTCCCAGAGCGCTCCGGAGGGCTCTGGGGCGGCCGCGGTGACGGGAGCATCCTTCAGAACGGCCAGGCCTCCGAGGGTCCCGATGCGTCCTCGTCCAATGTTGCTCTCGTCTTGGCTTCGTCTACGGGGTGCTGAGGGGCGACGGGTCCTGGGCCCTGGAGCTCTCATTCCCGGGGCCAGGCGTCGATCCCAGGGCGTCTTCTCGACGGCCACGCGGCCCGCACTAGTGGCACCCAGGGGCCCGGAGAGGGGCGGCGAGCTGCCATGGCCCTTGTCCTCCAGGACCCGTCTCCTCGGCTGCGAGCTGGACTCGGGAGGGAAAAAAGCACACACAGACACAAATCGTCGTCGATTCCCCAGAGGATATGGGAAAATATTGGAAGTGGGGGGGAAGACGAACACACCACAACTATGGGAAAAGGGTGATATTTTTATTTGTGTGTATTCATTTGTGTGTCCTGGGGCCCCTTCGTGGACAGAGGACCAACGATCCACGAGGTGCTGGTGCCTGGCCTGAAGTACACCCGGGCCGCCAGGCACAGGGGAGCGCCGGTGCTCCCGGGGCACCCCGCCTCGCGCCTTCGCCGTATGGGCGCCTGCACGCCGCGGCCGCCAGGCCCAGGCCCCGGGGGAGGCCAGGCGCTCCCCGGGTGCAGTGGAGGCCCAGGCCAAGAGGCCCCCTTAGCGGGGTGGTGGCCGACCCGTGCGGTGAGTCGGTGTGGGGGTTCGGGGTCGCCGCCCGGTCTTGGGACTCGGGTCGTTCTCCGAGGACGTCTCGGGCGACTGCGGCATCCGAGGTCCCAAGACCGTGCGTTGACGGACCGTGCGGTGAGGTCTTGGGGGATTTCGAGGTCACCGCACTGTCTGTCGCCGCACCGTTCCGGGACTCCAAAAAGAAGCACGCTGTTTTCGCGTGCTTAGTGGTTAAGACCAACACCAATATCGGCGGTGTTCTTCCACCGAGGGAAGAGGATTTTGATCTCGGTGGTGGTGGTAACTCATATTTTGGCTTCCAGGGTGACCGAACTATGACCACCAACACCGACATCTAGGACAGTCTTCCCCCTGTGGAGGCAACCCCCCGTGTTGGTGGTAGTGCCCATGTCCAGGCCTCCAAGGCTTGCTTCCAGGGTGCCCTGGGTTTCCTGGGTTTCGACGGCTTTGCCGCGGAAAATTTTGGTCTGCCCACGCCAGGAATCAGTGGACGTCCTGGGGTCTCAGGGTTGGGTTTCTTGTGGAGGGTTTCTCGTGGTCGCGCTCCTGCGGCATCCCGCCCTGCGTCCTCGGGTGGTCGTGGGCGAACGCCCTCCGCATCCGCGGCCTCGCGGGACGGGCCCCTGGGCCGCGACTCCGCGGATACGGGGCGCTCTTCCGGGGATGCCCCGCGCGGGAGGTCTCCTGCACGACCGCGTGCCCTCGGGGTCGCGCCCCAGAATCCAGGCCGCAAGGGCGCGGATGCGGATCTGTTCGCCGCTCGTGAGGTGGGGAGCGCTCGAAGCGTCGCAATGATTTCTTCCTGCGTGCCGGCATCGGCGGGGGCCCGCCAGCCGCGCCAGGTACTACACCGTCTACGACCTCGCCAAGAAGCGGGTCGGCTTCACCCTCGCCCAGGATCGTCGGCGAGCCGAGGGGGCAAGTGGGAGGGCGTGGGCCTTCTCAGAAGGCGGCGGCGCTTGTCGGAAACCTTCCGGCCTTCGAGATGTTTGTCTGTGTCCTTCGGGGAAAATGCAGACAACTTTTCAGAAGTGTGCATGCCATCCGAGCCTTCTGAGAAGGCCCCCCCTCCCTCAGAGGATCAATCCTAGCAATGATACGTTCCAGGATTTCCTAGGTATGTCCAATTGCGTCCTGACGCTCCACACGGGTTGCAGAAACTAGGGCCGCTGGACACCCAGGACATCGTGGAAGGTATCTTCAGCCAATCGCAGCATTGCACTTACGTATACATAGATGCACATGTGTAAATATACCTATATATATATAGATATGGTTACGAGCGATATATATATGGTTACGAGCGATATATATATATATATATATATATATATATACATAAATGTAGCTTGCCGCGTTTAACCAGCAGAAGTGATGTGCAGAACAGTTTGTGGATCGCCGCATCGACGCCCTCCGTCGACGTACTTGCACAAGTCCTTGAGGGCGCAGCCGCCCTCGTCCCATGCTGGCACGGGGACTCGGGCTCCCGCTCGTGGCCCACCTCAGCGCGATAGGCCTGGCGCTGGTGGTGGCTTGCTGCGCCGCGGGCCTCGCCGCTGCCGCTGGCGCCGCCCTCTGCCAGCGCTGGCCTTGGGCCGAGCGCCGTGGAGCCTGCCGTGGCGGGCGCTCGCCTGGTGCCCATCTCCGAGTGTATCTCGGCGACCGTGGAGGCCCGCGTGTGGCACACTTGCCCGTCGCCCTGTACCCCTTGCCCGGCCTGCCCTGTGGCAGGCGACTCGGGGCCTTCGTGGTCGGTCCAGCTCGGCATCGGGCTGCTCGGATTGAGCATTGTCGAGGTGGGGAAGCTGGTGCCTGCGGCAGCCGCGCGGCTGCTGGTGGCGCTGCAGCGCGTCGTCGCCTCCTGCGGCATCGGAGTCCGGGCGCGGTGCGAGGTGCGCCCGCTCGGGCTGGAGCAGGGGACTCCGCTTGCAGCCGCAGCGCCCGTCGAGAAGGTCGACTTGGCGGAGCTCGCGGCGGCGCAGGCGCGCGTTTGCCGACTCAGGCAGCTGCAGTCGCGCTGATGGCGGGCTCGTTCTACTGGTGAGATTCCGTGTGGCGGGACTGCTCCTATTGCACGAGCGTCTGACGCTCGTAGAGAGGGGCACCCTGTCGTACGTCATGACCCCCGACGCGACGCCAGGCGGCCTTGGAGGAGGACGCGTCCATCGGTTTCGGCGCTTGCCGACTGCTGGAGAGGCCTGGGGTGCGATGGCCCGTGCGATCGCTGCTGGGTTCCCTCGGCCGCCTGCGCCGGTGCTGAACCTGGAGCTGGGGGATGGCAATGTGCTCGGGGTCCCCGCTGGCGTGCACGCGCTGGCTGACCCTGGGGCCGCTGGAGGGCCTGCTGCCGCTGGTGCTGGAGGCGCCGGGGGCGGAGCTGCTGCTGCAGGCTTGGCCGGCGGAGTGGGCGCTCTGGTGGCCGCGCTGGGAGGGGCCTCCGCCGCCGCTGCGGCGCCTGCCGCTTTGGCGCCGCCCGCCGCGGCAGGAACCGCTGCCGCGCCCGCGCCAGCTGCCCCGGGTGCGCTGGCCGCCCCGCCCCCCGTGGCCGCGGCGCCGCCGGCCGTGCTCGCTGGAGGCGCCTTGGCGGGCCCTGCCGCGGCCGCTGCGCCCGCGGCGGCGCCCGCTGCCGTGCTGCCGCCGGCGATGGCGCCCGCTCCTGGAGTCCCTGTCGCTGCGCCCGCTCGTCCTGATCCCAGAGTGCTGGGCGTGTCATATGGCATGCTGGGGCAGCGCCACATCGAGTTCAGGGAAGGGGTCTTCCGGCTGGTCGTACATCCTTGGCCAGATTGGAGGCTGAGTGGGCCCAGGACCCTTCGCTGGGTATGCGGCTTCATGTGCGAGCACGGCGGCACGCCCATGGGACGGCACACGTTGTTCAAGACGTCTTTCCGCCTCACCGATGCCGACCCAGGCGTGGTGGAGCATGAGGAGTGCTGCCGCATCTTGCAGGAGGGCGTGTGCTAGGACCACCTGAGTGTGGCGTCAGTGGCATCCTTCGAGGTATTGCCGCCACATCCTCAACGACGATCGGGACGATGAGAGCTACGACAGTCACCTCTTCGTTGGCAATCAGCATTCGATGGGCAACTGGTTCGTCTGCCCGCAGTTGCAGACGCACGTGGCTGCCGAGCTGGCGCGCGAGGCGGCGCTGGCCAATGAGCGGCGCAAGGCACGCGAGGAGAGAGCCCCCCCCCGAAGCCCACTGCCAAGAGATCAGGCAAGAAGGGCCAGCGGGGCAGGGGGCGGAGGCGTGAGAGCCCCGCGGCGTGGGAGCTGGGCTGCCCGCGCCGCGCTCGCCCTTGCCCGCCGCGACATCGGCTCTGCGAGGGCGGAGAGGAAGGCCGCCAGCGCGACCTGTTCCCGTTGCCCGCCTTGGAGTTCTTGTCCCATCAAGTGTGTTACCGACCTCTCTAGCCGCTGCGTGGTCCGTCGCCGTCTTCGAGCTGCTCATGCCGGAAAGTGGGCCCCCGAGGGCGTTGCCTTTCTGAATAACTTGTATGGCAGTTTTATTTCCCGCTCCGACGTCAGACCCTACGCGGGCCAGCGCTTCGCCCTGGAACATCTTCGTCAGAGCTATCGGCGCGTTGGATCACATCCTGCAGATCTGCGCTCAGGACAGGCGGCCCTTTGCGCGCTCCTGTCTGGCGCGCCTGGCCACTCCAGTGGTGGCGGGCCCGTCGCCCCCTTCGACGGCGACGAGGTCGCCTGGCCGTCCCTCTCCAACGATCCCGTATTCTTGACCGACTTGTTGGGCGAGAGGGGCGCCTCGCGGTTCAGGGATTGGAAGGGGCGCGTGCTGCGACCGCCCCGGGCCGCTCGGAGCCTCCGCGCCGAGGCCGGCCCGCGGGGCGCATGCGTCGACCCGCTGTTGAAGCACAGCGCTAGTGATTACGCTACTTTTCGGAGAAAGGGCTGGCGCCGAGGCATGCTGACTTGGAAGCATGGCCATAGCGGAGACCTCGGATTGTTTTTCGCACGTCGCCAGGACGAGCGCCTCCGGATAATCTTTCAAGTGCGACTTCCTGCCTGCTTCGTCCACGCGGCCCCCAGCGCCCTCAGCCTTTGGCACGCTGGAGGCCGATCGGCAAGAATCCATCGCGTCGGGTGACCTGGGGGCCGCCTTCCACCACGTGCTCGTGCCGCCTGACACGGTGGATCACTTCTCCCTCCCCAGCCTGGACGCGGGGCTGCTGCTGAGCTGTGGCGTCACTGGTCAGCCCGCGGGCGCTGGGGGGCCCATCGCGCTCCGCCTGCGCGCCCTGCCCATTGGTTTCTGGTGGGCGTCGCGCCTTTGCCAGGGCGCGCTTCTGCGAGGCCGCAGCCTGGGTGGTTTCTCGCCCAGCCACCTCGTCGAGGACGGCCAGCCCGGGCGGCGCGCGCAGCGCGGTGAGCCGCCGATGGCCGCAGGGTGCGTCGACGACTACTTCGCGCTCGACGCCGATGCGGAGGTCGCGAACCGCGTTGCTCAGGCCGCGCGGGGGCAGCTGGTGAAGCTGGGGCTTGTGGTCCACGATTAGGGGACTGCCTGTCTCGACGCGGCGCTCTTGGGGCTCAGCCTGTCCGGGGGGCGTTTCTTCGCGACGCGCCCAAGTGCCTGGAGGCAAGAATTGGACTGCCATCGCTGCTGTTTACCCTCGTCAGTTGTGCTGCGACATCGCTTCCACCAGGATCGACGCCGCTGAATCTTTGAGAATTGCAGTTCTGTGGAGCAGGTTGAAACCCTGAGAGCTTAAGAAATGCGTTCTGTTTTTTCGGCCTGCGGCCAGTTTTGTCCGTTCAGGTCTGGGAAGCTCCGAGTCGCGCTTGGGCGCCGAATATTTCAGCTTGTCTCGAAAGATGTGCCTTGCTCCAGACACGATGATATAGCACAAACAAACACATTGTTCTGGCGATGTTGGTGTTCTGCGGGCTAAATCTCTGGCCGCTGCTAATTCGCAGAAGTGATGTGCAGAGCAGCTTGTGGATCGCCGCATCGGCGCCCTCTGTCGACGTACTTGCTCAAGTCTCCCTCCCTCCCTGTTCTCCCCCCTTCGCCTCCGCTTCCCTCGCTCTGCTCGCTCTCATTATTGTGTCAGCGTTCTCCCATATTAACCTTCTCGCAAGCCGCTGCTTCGGGAAGCTCCGGGTCGCGCCTGGGCGCCGGATCTTTCAGTTTGTCTCGAAAGATGTGCCTTGTTCCGGACACGATAAAAAATTGTTGTGGCGATCTTGGGGATTTGCGGGCTAATTTTGTCTATCTATATTTTTGTATATAGATATGTATGTATGTGTGTGCGTATGTGTATGTATGTATGCAGCCATGCACAACGCATGCATGTACGTATGTGTGTATGCATGTATGGATGGATGCATGCATGCGCATGTCTGCATGCATGCATGCATGCATGCATGCATGCATGTGTATGTATGTATGTATGTATGTATGTATGTATGTATGTATGTATGTGTGTGTGTGTATGTATGTATGTATGTATGTATGTATGTATGTATGTATGTATGTATGTATGTATGTGTGTCTGTATGTATGTGTGTATATATATATATATATATATATATATATATATATATATCAAGTCCCCCCGAGCTCCCCCCAATGCACCTTGGATTCCCGCCCATCGTTCCGCCCGCTCCGACCCGACGCCCGCCCGTCGTTCCGCCATTCCCACCTTATCTCTGCTCAGTTGTTCTCCGTTTCCTCCTACTTTTCTCGTTTTGTCAATCTCTCCTCTCCTCTTGTCTCCTCTCTCCTCCCACACCTCTGTTTCCTCATGCTCTTCTCCTTCGCATCCGGGTTGGCGACCATACGTAGTTGTTTGTTTAGGCATACAGATATACATATGTGCGTGTTTATATGTATATATAGATGTAAATGTATGCATACATATATTATGTATATATATATATATATGTATGCGTAGTGTGTTTCCCCATGGGACACTTTGTGACTGCGCCCCCGCCACATTCGTTAATGAACACTTTTGAGTTTCGCTGGTGGGGGGGGTATCGAGCAATTTCCGCGCCAATGTCGATGGTGCGCCGAAATCACGATGTGATGTGCCACTAGCGTCGCCACCAAAGCTTATACGGCCGAACGTGTAAGTTTGCATTCTGGGCCCTTTGAATTTGAAGCGGCCCCGTCGCCAAATTCCCGCTTGGGCCAAGTCATAGCTTGACTGTGATCTCGTCCTGCAATCAATACGCTGTACTAAGGACCGGTTTGTTTCTGGCGGGAGGTTCCCGCTGTTCCTCGGTGCGTTCCGTGACTGTTCGTTCCTCCAGCCCCCCTCGTGCGCACAGGCTCTCGTGGTGCCGAGTAGGAGAAGTGGGAGGAAGAGGAGGAGGACAAGGAAGAGGAGGAGGAGGAGGAGGAAGGGGGAGGAGGGAGGAAAAGGAGGCGGCGGAGGCGGAGGAAGGGGGCGTCCTCCTGTCGCGTGCCTCTTGTCACCCGCCCGCCTGCACGTAGCGCTCGCCCCCCCCCTCGGCCCTCGCCGCCCGCAGGAGCCGGAGGAGGGCGCGCAGGGCCTGCCGGCCGTCGGGGCGCCGCCTCCCGGGTTTGCCGGGGGCGGGCAGTGGGGAGCCAGACGGCCGAGGTGCCGAGGACCTCACAGTTCGGGTTGACCCAAGAGGGGGTCCAGGGACAGGGGGGTGGTGCAAGAGATTTGGTGCAATGCATCTGGGGCGTGCAATACGTCTGGGGCGTGTCCTGATACAATCGGGGGCGCAAATGTATTGCTGCTTTTTCGCGTGCAACGCATTACTCGCAATACAATGCAATACAATTCCCCGGCGCAATTCAGCTGAACCCCTTTTTGGGTCACCCAAAACAGTGGGCCTGGAAACGACAAGGCATTTAGTGCTACCAGTTCGTGCCTGTTTCTGTCTTGGGCTCCAGCAAGTTTGCTTGCATTGTGGGGGGGGCGGGGCTGAATCTGAAGCAAGCCGCAAGCGACTTGCACGTGCGGGGATCACGCAAGTCGAGAGGCACTCGCACTTGCACGGGAGCGGGCAGCGGGAGCTGGACTTGCGTCGGGCGTGTCCCTCTACAGGAGGAGTGTGCAAAAGTGGTCAAACAAAACTAGCTTGGGACGGCTTTTCGACGGTTTCTGACTATCTTTGAGCATGTTTTGCATACTTGTTCTGTTTTTTTTTGTTTTCCTAGGTCTCGTTCGACATCCGCCTGTCGGAGGGCGTGCCCGACCCAGAGCTGGACGGCAGAGGTGCCGAGGACCTTCACAACTGGAGGCCAGTCCATCGGAGGCCTTCCACAAGAAACCCAACCCTGAGACCCCAGGACGTCCATGGATTCCTGGCGTGGGGACGTCACGCCTTCCATGGCCCAAACCCAAGAACCCCAAGGCACCCTGGAGGCAAGCAGGGTGTTTCTTGGCATGGGCCTTCACTATAGTGGTCCCTGGAAACGACAAGGCAGTGTTTGGGACCAGTTCCCTTTTGTTGTTTTTTACCCGTTCCGACGCTGCTTGTTCTGCTGGTTCCGTCGCCGTTGTTGTTCCGAGTTCTGGCCCCGGCTTCAATCTTGGAGCCGTTTTCCTTTGCTGCTTCCGGTCCCCGTTCTTTGGCCGCTTCCATCTTCACGAGACGCGGTGAGAAGCATCGGCCCTGCCGCTCCTGGGGCCCACGGAGCCGAGGACTCCCCAGAGGTCCAGGCGTCGCCACGGGTTGGAGCTGTCCGGGGGCCTGAGAAGGGGCCCAGCCTTGGTTCTGGCCAGCGGGAAGGGGGGGCGACGTTCAAGGCTCAGGGTTCGGGGAGGTTTTCTGTCTGTTGCCCTTTCCGGCCTCCAGGGGCCGTCTTCAGGCCCTGGGGCAGTGAACGTTTCATCCAGGGTGAAAGAGTACACTAGGTGGACTGGGGGAGTTGTGTCAGGGGACCGATTTCGAGCGGATTTGGCCTCGTCCCCCCCTCCTGGCCGATTGTCTGGCTTCGTGCACCAGGGCCATCACATGGTCGCCCTGGCTCTAGGAATGTCGCAGGAAGATGGGCTCCAGGGCTCTGGGCGTGGTTGTCCGCGATGCTGCAAATTTTCGCGACTTCGGATCCCAGGAACTGACAAGTGTCAAACTATCCGCAACTCGAGGAGCTGTGGTCCTGACTCCTTTCCGGGAGCCCTCCAGAGAGGTCGTCGGCACGATGGGTTACCCCCAGGTGGTCATGAGCACAACTGCCCCAGTTGTGGCTTGTCGGCGATACCGCGTCCAAGGGACAAATCATCCGCAACGGGGGGAGCTGTGGTTCTTGCCACTCTTGGGGGGCCCATTCTCATAGGTTTCCAGACCCCTCTGGAGAGGTCCTCGGTACGATGGGCTCCATCGAGGTGGTAATGAGCACAACTGCCCCAGATGTGGCTGGTCGGCAATGCCTCGCCCAGGGGTCAGAACAGCCGCAAGTGGGGGAGCTGTGGTCTTCACCACCCTCAAGGCCCTGGGGGGCCCGTCGGCTTCCAGAGCCCTGTCGAGAGATCGTTCCCGCGATGGGCTTCCCCCGGGGGTGTGCAGGCAGCCCGCACAGCAAGGACGGATAACCTCTTCCCAGGCGTGCTCTGGCACCTTTGCCTCCTCGGCCCAGCCGTGGCCGCTTTCGTGGGCCGCTCCTCGCTCGAAAAGCTTCCAGACGGCCTTCCCAGGCCCTTCCTTCGACGCGTTAACGGTGTGTTAGCTGGCGGCAAAGTAGGAGCACCAATTGTAGGACGGCGTTGTTCGTGGCCAAGCCACCTGTAGCAGCGCGTGGTTTTTGTTTTCCTACAACCCGCTGTGTCGTTGTCGTTCGATGCGTTCGCAGATCTGACATGCAGGAAACGGTGTCTCGTGATTCCCTGCATTTTGCTTTGCGTGAGCTCTGTGCCACAAATGCAATATTCCCAGCCGCACCGCTAACCAAACACGCCGTCAGCGCCGCCTCGGCCCTTGTATCCTTCTCGCGCATCCTTCCTATACGGTTAAGTCGGGCCTGCCCCTTTACAGGGGGAGTATCCAAAAATAGTCAAGCCACAGTCTGGGGACGAGTTGTTTAAAAGTATGGTTGTGTTATTTCAGGCGCATTTCTGGAGTATGTAAAGCTTTTCGCCCAGGATCCGCCTGTATGGGGGGACATGCCCTGGCTAGCTATACGGGACAGCGGCGCCCGTGGTCGATGCGCGCTGCCGCGGCCACTGGGCACGGCGCTCCGCGCCTCGCTCGGGCCTCCCCTCGCCGTGTGGGAGTGGTTCGCGCGGGGCGGGAGGCCTCGTTTCTGGCCAGCCGCGGCGGGCTGACGGCGGTTCGGCGGTCTCGGGCGGGTGGTACTGTTGCGTCGGGCGTGTGCCTCTACGGGAGGGACCTTCCAGCGTGGGCAGAAGGTGGTCTGGGGGCGATTCTGTTTTTTATGTTTGCCCATTCGGGGGTATGTTTGACTATTTCCTATATTTCGTCCAAGGTCCGCCTGTAGGGGGACGTACCCAACCTAAGGGTGGGGGGTGACTTAATATGGGGGGTGAAGAGAAGGGCCCTGAAAAGGCCCCTCAGTGCGCCTTCTGGGCACCAACTGGCTCCAAGAGGGGCCCTGAAGGGCCCCATTTAGGACTCCTTTCTTCACCCCCCATGTGGGTCACCCTCCATTGCCACCCGCCCGACGGTCGCCGTGGACGCTCATCCAAGAGGAGATGGGCCGGGCGTCGGGGGAGAATACAGTCAATCCGCATAAGGCGTAAGAAGGGTGGGCAACCTTCCCAAGGATACCGTTGCATCCTTGCCCCATTTGCTCATCTCCTTAGCGATTCTCGATGGCCAACCTCGTTCGAAAAGCGTCCGCGTGGGCCTCCAAGGCCCTCGCATCCTTTCCGCGCATCTTTCTGATACGGGCCAACTGTAGTTTGACCGCTGCCTAGCTCGGCCACCCGCAGGGGGCGCGGAGGTAAATGGGGCTGCGCGCGCCGCGGCAACCGGGGAGGAGGGAGGAGGCGGGAGGAGGAGGGAGGAGGAGGAGGAGGAGGAGGAGGAGGAGGTTGGAGAAGGAGAAGGAGGAGGAGGAGGAGGAGGAGGAGGAGGAGGAGGAGGAGGGGAGGGAGGAGGGAGGAGGGGGGGGAGGAGGAGGAGGAGGGGAGGAGGAGGGAGGAGGGGGAGGAGGGAGGAGGAGGGAGGGGGGGGAGGAGGGAGGGGGGGGAGGAGGAGGAGGAGGAGGAGGAGGGAGGAGGGGGAGGGAGGGGGAGGAGGAGGGGGGGGGAGGAGGATCGAGGGGCCCCTTCTCCGTGGCGGCGGCGCGAGACGCGAAGGAGCGCCGCGCGTCGCGCACACTGCGCGGGGCGCGGGGTGCGAGGCTGGGCGGCCCGGGTGGCCCTTCCCTCGCGGCCGCCGCCTTGTGTTGATCCGGAGGTAGGGAAAGGGGGCATGGTGTAAACGTGGTGTGGTGTGGAGGAGGGGGAGGAGGGAAAGGGGGCATGGTGTAAACATGGTGTGGTGCTAATTTTAGGGGGCCACATGCGACCCCTAACCCCTAACCCCTAGCCCCTAGCTGTGGGGTTCACTTCGCTCGGGAGCTCCCGAGCGAAGTGAACCCCACTCTCCCCCTCAAAAATCGTGGGGGGTAAGGGGAGCTCCCGAGCGAAGTGAACCCCACCCTCCCCCTCAAACATTGTGGGGGGTAGGGGTAGGGTTCGCATGTGGCCCCCTCAATTTCATGTACAGGGGAATCTGGCGATGTTATTTATCGCAGGTAGCATCGCCATGTCAACGATTAGCACCATACCCCTTTATGCCACATCCCTTTCCGACCCTCTCCGACCTCCAGAGTTGAGTCGGGCATGCCCCTCTGCAGGAAGAGTGTTCAAATATAGTAGAGCATAGTATGGGGACGATTATTTTATCAGTTTGGAACTATGTTTTTAAGTATGTTTGACTTTTTTTCCTCCACAATCTGCCTTTGAAGCTGGGCGGCCTGGCTGGCCCTTCCCACGCGGCCGCCTCATTGTGTTAAGTCGGGCATGCCCCTTTGCAGGAAGAAGGAATGTTATTCAACCGTAGTAAAAGAAATCATCAGGGGACGATTCCCTTCTGATGTTTGAGCAGTGTTTGGTCTTTTTTGGACTTGTTTCTTTCTCCTCGTAAGTCGGGCATGTCCCCCTACAGGAAGAATATTTTAAAATGGTCAGAACATTATCTGGGGACGACTTGTCTATCACTTTCGAACTGCATTGGATTATTTTGGGGCTTTTTATATTCCCCTCCACTGTCCGCCTGCAGGGGGGCCTGCCCGACCTGTCCTTGTGGGTCTCCTCGGGGGACCCTCGCCGTCGTGGTGCCTGGCTTCGCCACGCCATCCTGTGGTCCTGGCCAGACCGCCCCCCTTCGGAGGAGGAGGAGGAGGAGCAGGAGCAGGAGGAGGGGGAAGGAGGAGGGAGGAGGGAGGAGGAGGAGGACTGGACTGGACTGGACTGGACTCTGAGGCTCATGGTCAGCCTACAACGACGATATAAAGGCAATCAAGCACTATGCAAGAGAGACACAATACATCACAGAAAAAGGAAAAGGTGGGGTCTCTACCCCACCGCGCCTGGTCCGCACC